ACGATTTTGCTTCAAAACGCGATGGGGCACGAAATATATGTTATCCACATTAAATAATGCTGCCGTGTTCGAACACAAGTCTTTCCGGAGACGTTGATTACTTTTTTCCCTTTTGTTCCTATTTACTCGTATTTTCCTTGACTTCTTTAAATGTATACGATTTTTCTTCAAAACGCGATGGGGCACGAAATATATGTTATCCACATCAAATAATGGTTTCGTGTTCGAAAACAAGTCTTTCCGGAGACGTTGATTATTTTTTCATTTTGTCCTTATTTACTCGTATTTTCCTTGACTTTTTTAAATGTATACAATTTTGCTTGAAAAGGCGATGGGGCACGAAATATATGTTATCCACATAAGATAATAGTGTCGTGTTCGAAAACAAGTCTTTTAAGAGACGTTGCTTATTTATTTCCATTTTGCCCCTATTTACTCGCACTTTCATTGACTTTTTAAATGTATATAATTTTGTCAAAACGCGATGGTGCACGAAATATATGTTATCCACATCAAATAATGGTGTCGTGTTCGAAAACAAGTATTTCCGGAGACGTTGACTATATTTACCTTTTGCCCCTATTTTTTCGAACTTTTCCTTGACTTCTTTAAACGTATACAATTTTGCTTCAAAATGCGTTGGGGGCACGAAATATATGTTATACACATCAAATAATGGTGTCGTGTTCGAAAACAAGTCTTTCCGGAGACGTTGATTATTTCTTGCCTTTTGTCCATATTTACTCGTATTTTCCTTGACTTCTTTAAGTGTATACGATTTTGCTTCAAAACGCGATGGGGCACGAAATATATGTTATCCACATTAAATAATGCTGCCGTGTTCGAACACAAGTCTTTCCGGAGACGTTGATTATTTTTTTCCCTTTTGTTCCTATTTACTCGTATTTTCCTTGACTTCTTTAAATGTTTACGATTTTTCTTCAAAACGCGATGGGGCACGAAATATATGTTATCCACATCAAATAATGGTTTCGTGTTCGAAAACAAGTCTTTCCGGAGACGTTGATTATTTTTTCATTTTGTCCTTATTTACTCGTATTTTCCTTGACTTCTTTAAATGTATACAATTTTGCTTGAAAAAGCGATGGGGCACGAAATATATGTTATCCACATAAGATAATAGTGTCGTGTTCGAAAACAAGTCTTTTCGGAGACGTTGCTTATTTATTTCCATTTTGCCCCTATTTACTCACACTTTCACTGACGTTTTTAAATGTATATAATTTTGTCAAAACGCGATGGTGCACGAAATATATGTTATCCACATCAAATAATGGTGTCGTGTTCGAAAACAAGTATTCCCGGAGACGTTGATTA